CTTTATCGTCATATGTACGCGTACGCAATCTATAGATATAACGTATACCGTGTCTTCTATATAAGTTTCTTTTATGTAATCAGTCGCGATCGATCGCCGGAAACTTTTTATAGTTAAGCTGTACATTTTCGTTTTAATCGATTTAATCATCCATCGGACATCAACGTAATGTTAACGATTATCATTATTATTATTACTATTATTATTACTATTATTATTATTATTACTATTATTACTGTCATTATTATTATTTATAGTTAATTGGTTTACGTGCTAATTATTAAGCAGCTAGTGCCGTTTATTTTATATTTCTCGTACAGTGTAATGTGTATCACCGCTGTTAACATATTTTATTAAAACTTTGCCATATAATAACCCCCCGCAGTCTCACGTTCCCCACCCACACCGTTCGCCGTTTTATTTTCCGCCGGTAATTACGATACGGTCCGCGCATAAAACCCGCACACGCACGAATCCCCGAACCGACACTCAACCGTTTCAGCGTTCTCTCGTTTCCCATCCGCGCCACCACATAATCGATCATTGTATATACACGCCGCACAAGGGGCTTCGTATTTTGCATCATGGTTTCCGCCTTTTATTTCCGGCGGCTCCATAAGCGTTTTTCCCGAAAGCGAGCGGGAAAGGAACGGCTGAAGGAGCGAAACCTTTTCGTCGGCCGACAGCGGAACCGAGAAACGAGCGGAGTGGTTCGGATGCGCCGAAACGTTGCGTCGTTTTCAGAAACATCGCGCGTGCCTCCGCGGACGGCCCGGTTTTCAGCCGCGTGCATCGTTGTCCCCGGAATCGCTTTCGCGGCCCCGCGGAATGCACTCGAGCGGCCGCGTCTTCATCGCGAGCTACGCGACGCACGGCTAAGTCCGTAAATCTAAATCCGAATACTTTATCCGAGATGCATCGTTCGAAACGGCGGATCTAATCGCACTGATACGAACGCGATGCTCGAGTCGATCTTTGTGGAAATTCCTTTACAATTTCTGACAAGAATTCTGTACTTGGAACATCCTGTTTCATAACGTTTTTCGAAGCATCGTTGATCTGCGGCCGTTCTAAATCTTTAAGTAGAGCTGAGTCAAAGTTTCGGATAAATTTCCTTGTTTTATATAAAATTCGAATATACTTCGAACACTCGAGCAATATTAGACGCACTGGAATGTGTAGAACAAATCTACTGTACCAGGAAAAGTCTGGTTCATGTTTTGAAAATTGAATTTTGGTCAGCTCTTCGTGAAACGGCCCCATTGTGCGACGCCTATTCGCATGTACCGTGCGCGAAACAAGCACCGGGCAGCACTTTTCACCCTTTGCTCGCGATCCTCCGGGTAAGTCGGAATAAACGGGTCGTTGCTTGTCGCGCGAACCCCGAGGTTGCTTCGCCAGAGAACCGAAACCGAAATGCGCATCGGGATTTCCGTTAACGCATTCGCAACCGCATATCATTTCCTAAAGTCTATTCATCGAACGTGTACGAATATAGAAGATAGGTTCGAAAAAATCCGAGCGGTAAATAAAACTGCGTTAAACGGGGTCACATCTCAACGCGTTAATAACGGGGAGAAGAGAGTCAGGACAGTGAATAGAAAAATATTGCATTTTTTTGTTTTATTTCCTGGCGTGTACCACCTATACGAGTATAACGGTCTGAGAAACCTTGGTAAAGTGAATCAATGAGAAATATAGAACAGCGAAACAGCGTTAAACGGGTTATTGGTGTATTCGGTGAAATTGTATTGACAATGTTTAAGTGCAGAGTTCGAAATGACGTAGGATCGAGTAACCGGCATCCTTCTAAAAGATATAAAATAACGTAGGACTACGTCACTGGTATTCCTCGAAAAAGATGAAAAATTCCGTAGAACTGCGCTATCGGTCTCGAATGTGTTAATAGATATCTACAACTCGAATCAGTGGAATAAATGAATTTGTTCGTAACGATTATTCTGAATTCGGTAGTGTGTTACTAGTGTAGGTCTCGAGTGATCTAGGGAGTGTAAAATATGATTTTCGGTTTCGTTTCCCTGGTGTTATCTTCGTTTTCCTGTTTCTCCCGGAGATGCTAGTTTCGTTCTGTCCGAATGATCATTTCTCGGACGATCTTGGCGCGTCGGCGATTAATTTTTCTGGTAAATGTGAACGTAATCCGAGTCAGCTCTTCTGGAGGTTGCAGCCCGACGGGCGGAGTCTCGGTTCGTGGTATTTTAGGGGCTTCGTCTCGCAACCATAGAGTCTCGCCGCAAGGCCCAGAAGCCGGTGTCAACTTCTTCCGTTACTATTTATCGTCGGTGATTTTCGCCCTAACCGGAAGTGGATAGTTTCGGTCAAGGACCGACTGTCCCTTCACCTCGAGGGATATAAAATAGATTATTTCACATAGCTCACAGTTCAATAAACTGTAACAAAAGCAATGAAAGAAAATAATGCTATTTTTATATGTTGCATCGTCTGCCGTGGTGACCTATAGTTGTACGAACTATGTACTTGCATTTTGTTTTCCTATCTTCTGAACCACCCCACTCCACTTCCTCCCAGCCCAACCCTTGTTTCACTCATCTATCGATTGGGCCATTTCGTGTCACGTCGTTGATTTCTTTTCCGTTTTCTTTGTTTTTCGGGGTGTTCTCGACGCGATCACACATAGATCATGCCGGATGTTTCATAGACGAACCAACCAACATTTCTTTGGGTCGCGATTCGACATTCGAGTCTCACGACGAAAGATATTGATATACCGTATTTTTTTATACTCGTTACACCAAGTTACTATACGTTCGAGTGGTGTCGTCAGAAATTGTGAGAAGCATTCTCGTATACTTTTGACGAGGACTGTTCCAATAATAATTAATATCAACATTAGCAGCTTAGAAGTAAACGACGAGAAATATTTCTGAAGATGATCCAAAGGATGCTCTTGCTCACAATTGATCTAGATTACTACATTAAGATTTACTATTATTGTATTATTATTACTATATCTACATTCCTTTTAAGAATCTACCACTATTACTTTACGAAACCATCTGTAAATAAGTATTTTGTATTCCTGCAAGAATAAAATTAAGAATCATTGAACTCTGTCGATTTATTATCCCTGACGCTGTTCTTTATCCCGATGAACGTCGTAGGGTGTACGGCTCGGAAAAGTTACGAAAGGATCAGAGATCTGTTCAGTTCTCTAATTAAAGCAGTTTAATGTGCATTACGAATAGGTGTTCACGTTGTTTTCACTAAAGTTTATTTAATTATCTATCGCAAAACTTGGTTACAATCAATTCATTACGTATACTTCATCTAAGGAATAATAGTGATTGTACATACAAACGCTGACGATGATAAACTTATTTTAAAAATAAACTATTAACCCATGGTCAATTTTGGATCACGAGCAACCCGATGTCCGCTGGTGGAGAGTTAATAAAAATATTAAACTCTACGCAGTATTCCTCTAGTACTTATAATACGCAATAAGGTCATTTAAGATTTTAACATTTACAAAAAAAAATAATAAACCAGAAAGCCAAATATACGTAAAAGTATTTAGTCCCTGAAATTCTAACAAATAAGCGGCTAACAACCAAAGACCTTGACTCAGAAACCAAGCCAAACATAAACTCGTCGATCTCTTAATACTTACTCCAAATCTTGGAATACACAATGGTACAAGAGATAAGAACCAGAAAAAGTATTGGGATGTTACTACTGGATTGTATGTTACCATTACCATGGCTTGTGTAAACATTGCAAATGGCAAATCAGACTTTCTTGAATATGCATATGACAGTGTCAGTAGCAATACCAATTGTGGTAAAAATGTACAAGCTTTTTCAATGATACCAGGTGGTTGGTTTGCAGATAAATACAGCATGTAAAAATAAACAGAAAAATTGTGTTTCGTATCTTTCCTGATCAAGTGGTAAATAAAACTTTCATAAAGGTACTTATACCCAAAGAAATAATAATTTATGATAGTCAAAAGAACCACGAAAAATACACAACTTAATACCAGTTTCCACTGATTTCTGTTTGGCATTAGATTTTTTTTACTAAGAGATAAATACATTGGTAGACTAAATGCAATAGGGTATAGTCTAAAATGAACTGACATGGCATGCAATAAGCCAGTTAACATATATTTATCTCGTAGAAATAAATCTAATGTCAACATAACTAAAAGAACAGCTACAGAATCTGCATTTCCCCTGGTTGAAATAATAATTGTGAAAGGATTATATAACCATATCAAAGCACAAATGTGTTTTTTTCTCTCGTCACAATTTTGCAATGACAGAATTCTTTTTATCAGAACTGCTATCAATATATCAATAAAAGAGAATAATGTTTTACCAAAATCCTTGTGTATGAAAATATTTGGTGTCAGGAGCAATGCGAGTAATGGTGTGTAGCGATAAGTATCGCGTTCAAATGGAGATCTTCCTTCTACCATGTGTCTTGCTGCATCGGTAAACACTTTATAGTCAACATCAGTGTATGGAACATTAAAAGTCTCATCATGAAAGTTGGAATAAACCATTAGAGTTGTTCTAACCAAAAAGGCTACTAAACAATGTTTCTTGAATGACAATGTATCCATGCTTAAAGTAGAAATTGAACACCTCACAAAGGATAAGTATTAATTAAGTAGTTTAAAGCTACAAATTAAGATAATTCTACTCCTTATAACTTTGTATTATTTTTCATAGCAGCTTTCATTAAACATGTTTTAAATGTGTCGAATTCGCTTTTACAATCATCTTTTTTCAAATTTGCTTGTGCCAATACACATGCTGCATACTTTGCACCAGTTTCATGACATTCGGCGACAAGAACTGGATACTTTCTAAGTCGTTCCTTTGCTTTCTTCACTGCTTCCATCTTTATTATATTAATATATTAAATTATTACTTGTATGTTAATACATATATTTGCTATATATTGTTACACTCCTTCTTATAAGCATGTTTACACGGTTTTATCTGGAACTTTCATTATTTGATACAAAGTGAAGGCGGTGTACATCCCTACTACGATACGCACAGCAATAAGTCGTTTCCGCTCTAAGCGCCACATAATTTATTTTTGAGCTTTCCTCTGTAGAAGAGCCATGATGATTATTATGATTTAGTAAAATATTATGAATGATAAATGTTAATACTACTTTATGGCAAAGGAACTTTGTGTACTTACATAATCCACAGTGTTATGCTCGTAAGGCTTAGAAGTATCTATACCTTCACAAACTGTGGACTGATTTTTATGTTTCATACAACACTGCCTTATTTCCTCAATAACCACTTCACAACGTGACGGTTGATAGACGTTGTCTGAAATTAAGTATCTTTTATAATAAAGGTATGAACCTCAACTGCTGTTACAAAACTCGAACCAAATGCAACTATATTAAAAAACGTTATATCGAAAGCTACCAACCTTTCAAACACTGTTGCAGTTTACACGCAAACTGTTTGCAAGGATCGGAACTTGACATGCAAGAGAAGATTACTTTTATAGAAATTCTAAAGCCCTAAAACGAATCTTACGTAATTAAACTGTATACTGAATGACGTAGTCCGATGCCATTTGACCATTCAAAATATGCGTGTATTCAGCAAAAATATTACCAATCAAAAATATGCTGTACTTATAACTTTATTATTCTATTTCATTTTTAATATCTATAAAATAGTTAAAATGCCAGTATGTGATAACAGTTCTTTTACATATAACAATTTCGAAATACGACATTTAAAATGTTATAATTTTAGTTCTACATAGATGGCACGTTGCAACGTGTCCTGAGAGAAGCAGCCGACAAAACACAGTCACTATATGTACATAATCATTAACGAATGTTTTGTTAGGTTACATTATACAAATTGTACGTTTATACTGTCAAAAATACGATAATGTTGGGGAAAATTAAAACAAAGCAAGAAAAAGGAGGTAAGCTTTTATATTATAAATTAATCTGCCACTTCTATTATGTTTAAAACTTTCAACCATTATATGATTTTCATTTTTATTATAGGTTATGTTTTTGTTTAACAGCAAATGATATTTAGCTTATTTTTGGCATTTGATTTTGGTTCATATTCTCTCAGAAATTATTCAATTTTTTCTATAATAAGTATTGTTTTGATCATATAATGAAACACAGTGACTTTTACAGAAATTATTGCATACAGTGAAGCAGCCGTTGTAAATAATGCTGCTGTTGTGGAGTATTGTAGGATATCAATGGCAGCTTTGTCGGGTGGTACAGCTGGTTTATTAGGGTTAACAGGTCTATATGGTTTTGGATTCTACATTTTTGCAGTATTTGGATTATGGGTAAGAAAGTTTATTAAAAATAATATAGAAATTTTCATGCTAACGTAGTATTTTTTGTAGGCAATGTTACTGCTAAAAGCAGGAGGTCAATGGAAGAAATATTTTATAAGCAGACGAAATCTTTTAACAAGTGGATTTTTTGGAGGCCTATTTGTATCCTTTATATTAATATAAAAGATGCATGCATTACAATATTTTATTAAAACATTAATATTTTCCTTAATAGAAACACTTATCCATGCATTAGACGTACGTATTATTCTGGACGTATCCTTTTAAAATACCAAACTGCTTACTTATCGAGTAGTGAATATTATAATCTTTATTAAACATGTATTTATATGGAATACTTGCCTTAATCTATAATCAGATTTTTATATGGTATGGTACATGTCTACTGATCCAAAGGATAATTAGTTTTAAGAATTTATGTTTTTTTAACTACATAGGTGCATTGTTGGTTAATTAAATATATCACAAGCAATTCGCGAGTTATTAGCCAGATTAATGATATTGTCAAGAAAATCCTGTGCGATGTGTTGTATATGTGTGTACATAAGATAAACACTTTCAAAAAATATATCTATTCTACTGTTCCACTTGCCCAATGTTGTTTATTATTAACTCTGTTCAAGTATAAACACCTAAATCATTACGATAAGTATATTAGAATGTCTATTTATTTCTCTGATCATGTTCTATGCATACAATAAATAACAAGATACGGTACATAAACATTGTAAACAAAATATTATAAAATTCAACATTTTTTTTCTACATTTCTATCATTTAGTGTGTAACAAATGAGCGAACACATTTAAAATGCTTAAAGTATTACTAGAACAAACAATTTTACTTCTTTCTTCATGAAACTAATCGATTGAACAGAGAACGTCGTATATTCATCATACAACAAATCGATTGTATAAATTCGAGAATAAAGACTCGTCCATTTAACTTTGTATACAATAGAATATTTTCATTTAACTTTTGTTAAAAGTCGTACAACTGCTTTTTACGTAAACAGGCTGTTAACGATAGATAACATAACTTTTGTACTTGGCATGCTCGCAGTTTTATTGTATTCTGCATATCCCTTCGTTACAATACAATACTACTGAAACACTGACAATGATTCTAACGATATCATCGATTAAGTTGCAACGGTATCCGAGTTTCGAAATGTTTTCGGCAGTGAAGTATCATCTGTATCAATTTCCTCGGCGTTACGGTAATTTCATCTAGGTAACGCGATGTGGCTGAGCACAGTTCTCTTTTTTCGTTGCCTGCGAAGTTGAAAGAAGTTCACGAGATAAGATCAATCAATTCTTGTTATTCAGATCTTCGTTTCGGAAGATTCCTCGACAGCGTGTGTACTCGACCGCCGACAACTCTCCGAGATATCCTCCAGCGGTGTTCCTGTTTCCAGACCTTCTAATTTCCGTTCCTCATCTATTTTGTCGAGCTCCTTTTTGCTCAAATGGTACACGATTCCTGCGCCGTATCCATCACCCAAAACGTTTATCGACGTTCTGATGCGATCCCTGTGAACAATCAAATATCAATCATGCCCTCTCCCCGTTCTAGTCAATGATACAATCGAATAAATAAGCTACGGCCATTTTCAGTTCTACGAAACGTTCGTCACTGGTCGTGTTAAACGAGAAATTGAACTTACAGTAGCCAGTCAACAGCGAACAACAGGGAAACATCGCCCGTGGGTAAACCGAGAGCTGTCAGGACGATCAGCATGGTGATCAAGGCAGCACTGGGAATGCTTGCCGCCCCTATGCTCGCCAAGGTGGCTGTAATGCTACAGAAGCGAATAGAAATGAAATAAAACGGTAGAATTCGAAAGATCGCTAACTCTACCTACCTAACAGTTATAACTTCCCCAATGCCCAATGAAATTCCGTTCACCTGGGCGATAAAAACCGCAGCGACGGCCTCGTAAAGCGCCGTCCCGTCCATGTTCACCGTGGCTCCGACAGCTACCACGAACCGGGTCACGCGGGGATCAATTTTATTATTTTCTTCGAGGCAGCGGAAGGTTATTGGCAAAGTTGCTGCGCTAAAAACATCAAGAAGCTATAGTTGCAAAGTTTCTCGAGGCACACCACTGCCGTTAGGGGCGGCGGTTTAGAGAAGACTCGCTTCTGTAGCGAGCAGTGGACGAATAGTATACCAATCGCTACCTGGACGCAGTTCCCAGAGCTGTCACCCAAGCCTGCATCATACCCTTGAAGAACACGCCGGGGTTTCGACGCGTGATGATCCAATATATCGCGGGCAGGGTGATCACGCCGTGTATCAGCAGACCCAGGATCACCGTGACCATGTACAGAGCCAGGGTCTGCGCGGTCGCCGCCAAATTGGCGATCGACATTATTTTCCCGGCTATCAGGCACATGATTCCGAACGGGGAGTACCTGCGTGACATGAATACTCGAGCCGACATTGCTTCGCCTAATCATTCGATCGTAGCGGGAGAAACTACCAAGCGTGAAATTAAAGTTGCGGACTCGATCGCTCACCACATCACAACGATACTGACGAGTTTCATGATTATTTCGTTCAGCACCACGAAGAAGTCGACCATCAGCTTCCCCCGTGGACCGATCTGTCCAGCGAGGAGGCCGAACGTGATACAGAACACAATTATCCCCATCACGTTCGTCCCGTCCTTGTAGACTAACGTCGGCTCTAAAACGTAATCGCTTTGATTCGCGCTCCCAATGACCAGCACCTTCTTCTTCACGTAAGTGGTCTGCGCTTGCTGGAAGCACGCCTGCATCAAGTTGTCCGGCACCATGTTTCTAAAACACGACACTCGTTATTGCCGCGTCGTGCCGCGTACAATGTCCTCCGCGTCTCCTCTCTACCTAATTATGTCCAGAATAGCGTCCAGCGTGGAAACTTTCGCCTCGTCCGGCCTGGCTGCGGTTATGCTGGACTTGATCCTCGGATCACCGGGATGGATTATCAATACCATCACGATACCGACCACCGCCGCTAGAACGGTCGTCGCCGTGTAATACATCAATGCTCTGAAGCCCATTCGCCCCGAGCTCCTCGCGTCCAACTGCGCCATGCCTGAACGATACAATTCAACGGCTAAGCTGACGGACATTCGGTTCCTAAGCTGTTCTCGACCGAATCGCGAGACATTGCGTAATCTCACCGGAGATAAGCGAAGAAACGATCAACGGCAATATGAACATCTTTAAGGCTCGCATCAGAAGTTCCCCGGGGAAACTGATCAGAGCGATAGACGGCGGCGAGGGATTGGCCAATCGACCTAGGAACCCTAGAATCAGTCCCATCAACACTCCGATGACCGTGAACACGAGAAGCATGTTCTCCTGTATCCAATCCACTACCTGCAGTTCAGTACGTGCGTGCAATGCTGATGCGTTAGAAGAGAGTTACGCCCGATACACACACTCTCTCTCTCTCTCTCGATCCGCTCGAAATCCTCTCCTCGTCTATTCCGTTCGACGAACGAACATAGAGCGAGGTCGAGTCGAGATCGGACTGGTATCCGTAACGCGAACACATTAGAGACAACCGACAAATATTCGATCGAAGCGGATCGAGAGCTGACCGACGGTGTACGGGCTACGAAAAATCGGATGGCAATCCGTGCAGGGCAATTACTAACGATTTGCAGTCTGTCGAGCGGCGTCATCTGATGACGCACTTTGCCCTCGTCCACGGGCGCAATCTTCTCGATCTCGTCGGCGCATGATCTGGAAATTGTCCCGGGTAAGTGAAAAGACGAACGGAAAGGACGCGCAGAGGTTGAGCGGATCTCACGTGTGAGTTTCCTTGACCTCCGAAGTGCCCCTCAGGACAGCAACAGCCCCGGATATTCGTTGCGCTAACGACATCGTGGTTGGTCCGGTGACAGGTCGCTTTAGGAGTTCCCGAAAGGTCTTCCCCTGGGCACGAGGAAGATCGTGGACACGTCTTCTATCATCCCGCGGTCCTCACCACCGCGGCATCTATAGTTTTACAAATGAAAAGCGTCTAGGGAGTCGACAGCCGCAAGATACTCTGCATTCCTCGATAGAAGAAGAGCCCTGGAAGGAATGCGGGTCTAACCGGTCAGCTTTTTCGTCTTTCCTCGTCTCGTTTTCGATACCGATTTCCTATCCCTCGAGACGGTTACACGTAACCGATCGAAACCGAACGGGACACATCGCGAAAGACCGTTGCCTCCACCGTCCCAGGGCTCCGAGCAACGCAGAGTAGATTCGTCGCTCGATTTACACACCAATGGCAACTTTAGCACTGTCCGAGGTCTCGGTTGGCTGGAGCATCGAAGGATGCTGTCGCGAAACGACGGAACACCTGGAGCCGGATCTTCCGACGGAGGTCACAGCTGAGTCTCTGGCGAGCGCAGCACCGTTCCGAGATCACTTCACCGACACCACGGAATCGTGCGACGAGCCCGGCGGCATCCGTAACCCGCGGATCTTGGGCTGGCTCTTTTACGCGCAATGGACAGCCGAGTGACTACCGTATGATCGAAACCCGGGGACTTGGCTAGGTATCACGTAGTTACGATCCGCCGTCACGTAGATAATGTGCCCCATCCAGGAAGCTGATTAATGCGCGGCAGGTGGGGGGAGGGTGAACAACGAAAGAGGAAAGGGAGGCTGGACCGTGAGCGTAAGAGACAGCCGGCTTACAGGAAGAGGGCACTCATCGCGACGGGTCGCACGGCACTGAATAAGCAGAAGGGAGAAAAATGTGTACCGCGCGAGCCTGTTTCCTGCAGAAATAGACCCGTGTCGATTGGTTACGCGGCATCGGTTAAATTGCTCTAAATGGAGAACGCGGAACGGTTCCATCCCTTCGCGCGAGCCCCTTTTCACCCGGCCGAACTAGGGTAAGTCGGGGATAGATGGCCCACTTTTTTCAAAACAACTATTACATCGTAAATATCATCGATGCCCAGCGAGAACCAATCTATTTATCAAAGTCGAGTAGGAAAGATCTTCTCTAGATGGAAAGTCTTCGCTTTAAGACTGGTTCTCTTTGCGATTTCCGTTTCAATTGTTCGAGCGATCGTTCGTCGACTCTTCGGTTTCTGGATCGAGTATATCCAGAGAAGTGGGTCAGGCATGGTTTCAACGAGTATAAAGAAATAATCGGATAAACAACGAGGAATTCTGTATTGTTCCTTCGCTGTTCGATCGTATCAAATGATTTATAACGATCTTTCGATTATACCTCTGATTTCAATAGTGTCCTGGCACAACGAATCCAATTAAAGCGTGAGCAAGCAACTCCGAATGAAATATAGAGTTTCACAAAAGAAACGATGAAGCTGATGTAAAAATTAGGAACGACTCAATGGATTAATCCGTCGCGATTCTACGGTCGAAGGAAAAGCTTAGTTGCGGTCGTAATTGGTCCTCAGTTATTGCGCGCACGTGCCGTTTGAAAGGCTCGTTTCGTCGAATTGAAGGCAACATCCTAACTTGTGTACCGCTCATCCAAGAAACGGATTGCCGTTGCACGAGCAAGTTCGCCGATGGATACGGGGATCGTCTTTTGCGAGGGATGTCTTCGCCATTCGCGCGGCCTTGGCCAACATTCAAATCCAGGGAAACAAGTCGAGGAACGGATACGGATCTTCCGTGGATCGCTTGATGGCGAACAGCGGAGTCACGTTTCGTCTGCGTAAACCTCTGCTCATCAAATTAATGCATAATAGACCGTGCACGTTCGCTTCGGAATCCGGCGGTAAATGCGTAAGTGTATGTAATTGTAATCTACTTGAATTTCAGCCCGGCGCGGCGCGGTGCGGCGCCTTGGTCAGAATGCAGATCACAATTGGAACGCTCGCTGCAAATTATTTTGAAAGCATGTAGGATACCAGCCAATTTATAGGGCCCCTTTGTATATCCGTTGGAAGGTAACCTAATTCCTCTAGTAATGATGGTTATGAGTGATGTCTATATGTAGAGTCGTATCGGGTTCATCGTAGATAGCGCGGATCTGCAATGCGAGAATGCACCGATTCTCATCTCGACGGGGTGCCCGCTACAGTTCCGTGGAATGTGGAATCAATAGTAGAATAGTACGAACGCGAAGTATCGGGTTAGCGTACGCGAAATCATCTCTGGTAGATCTTGATTCCGAAGTTTATGGAAATATTGAAATTTATCTTGTCTTTTCATGCTAACTTCCAGCGTACAAGATGAACGCATCGAGATTACTAAAATTAGGTTACTAAAATTTCTTTTTATTTTATTCGATGCGAATAGTTGTTTAATGGTTGTACTATAATGCGCCGTGCATGTTCCGAGAAACGTCTTTATGAGATTCACAGGACGCTCGTGGATACTTGGAAATAGTGAAATACATGTTCCATTTCACGTTGCTGTACTATTCCGAGCAGATGTTGAACGCATCTATCGAACGCGTATGATTCGCGAAAAATAAGGAAGATAATATCGCCGCGGGTTTCAACAGACGCGTGCAACGGGTGGGAGAACGTCTCTTAAAATATAAATTCTCGCCTGGACATCTTTAGTCCGTTTAAACTGATTCATCTTCGATTGTCTGTTTACCGACGCGGAAGATGTTGCGCGGAATCGATTCGAGAGTCTTTACTCTGACGGTGATGTTCGTAGCGACTTGCGCGGTTCGGAGGAGTCCGTGGTGGACCGGAAACAGCAAACAAAGACAAGGGTGACAATTAACATAATCGTTTAATAGATTCTCATGCTTATTCATGATACCTGATATTACGATCGATTTTGAACGACGTTCCGGTAATAAATTGAATTAAATTTAAATCGATGAATTCCCTGTACGTCTATCAACGACATATGAATGACAAAAAGTAATGTTTCCAAAAATTGTACGAATTCGAACGCGTTTGTTTGAATAGAATTTTCGGAGTTACCTTGCCGAACGATCTCTTTGATGAGCTCTATAATTTAATAAAAACGTGGGCGAAGCCTTATGAAGTTGAATTAAGACTTCAATTGAAAACTTCCATGTTTTACTGCAGTTAAGAAAATTGGTTAACTTATTGACACATTTATTGTCTGCTCTATGCGACCGTGCAACCAAGTTTGTTGTCAAGTATTTATCGTTTTGTCAATTATTCTCGTTCGTAACGGTCGGTAAAGGTTAATCACGGTACTGCGAAGGTACTAGGAATGATATTGCGTTAACTACATCGGGATTTTGGTGGTTCGGAGAATGAATGAAGCGCCTGTAAAATTCTGTGCGTAAAACGTGCAATTTTTGTCGATGTAGACCGAATATATGCGCCGTGGAAGTAAACGACGATATAAATTACACCTATTACACCGAAAGCAGAGAGTGGAATCCACGAAACATTTGCGGCAAGCAGACGTAAGTATAAATTTCACGTTGCTCCTGTACGAAGCTTGTTAAAACACGTCGATAATTTCGTTCGCTTCGCAGATCCGTTAGATACGAGTGTTGCGCAGGATATTACAGAGTTCCAGGACAATTCGGGTGCACAGGAGGTATTACAGCTTACATTTATTTGCATTTCTTATCCTTCTTTATCATACTACCGTTCCACTTTTAGTGAAACCATTGGTTAATCTGATCGAAACTGCGAGACGCGTAGGATCGACGAAATTCGCGAGATTGATCGAGACCTCGAGTCTGGCGGAAGAGTTACTAAACGGACCACCTGTAACGATCTTTGTTCCTTCCGAGGAAGCATTTGACGTGAGTTCGATGTACAAAGAAATTCGAAAGTGAAATATTTAGTTAACGTGTTAATCGACATTTCCATTGACCGCTTCAGAACTACCTGAGAATAAAAGGAATCCTGCCGGAATGGCTGCTGAACGGCAACAACTACATAAACCTGATCGCGAATCACATAGTGGACAGCCGCGTGCTATCGAATTATTGGCGGGCGAATTTATTAATTCCGTCGAGGCTGCAGGGAAACGTTCTAAGAATTAATAAATTCTCCAACGGGGTGAGTGCCGCGAGAGCCTTGGATTAAACGGCCGTCATCGATGCCACTTACGCTTTTTAAATCCGTCTATCGCGCAGATGGAAACGGTGAACTGCCACCGAATCCTTCGCAAGGATCAGATCGCCACTAACGGTGTCGTGCACGTCATCGACGGATTACTGGATCTCGCGTTGCCGCAGAATTCGGATATAATCGAGCTCGCGGAGAGGGACGGTAGATTCGGAATATTTTCGAGAGCACTCCGGAACAGCGAGCTGGGAAATCGGATCAGACACAGCGACGTGCCCTGTACGATTTTCGCGCCCACCGATGACGCTTTCCACCGTATCCCGGAACAACAGTTGAACGATATGTTGACGAATCCCAACGCATTGAACGGTACGTAGTTTAGACGCGGTAAGCATTCTTGTATATTTCCACGGCTTCAAAACGTATGTACACGGCAGCGTTAATTGCACACCACATCGTTACCCATCCTGTCTGCGTGCCGAACATCATTTCGGAGTACCACGCGACCACGATGCAACAACAAGACCTGACGCTGAACTGCGGACCACACGGGCCAATCGTGGATCATGCGAACTTGAACGATGAAATGTACCACGGGAAAAACGGACTTCTGTACATCCTCGATCGCGTCTTGCTTCCCGACCGAGGTGATAAGATAGAGTAATTCCAAGGGAGATGTCTGTATTTCCTTTGAAACCTGATTTCGAGAGAAACTTTCATCGTTTCCTTAGAAATTGGCCAGTAAGGATTCAGATTACAACTGGAGTATCTTCTTGTTTCAGCAAGATCAATTTTGGATTTAGCGAAAGAGGAAGGACTGTTCACGTTTCTGGAGATAATCAAAGCGGCCAGGCTAGAAGAGGATCTGAGTCGCTTGCAGCGGTTCACGATGTTTGCTCCCTCCGAGACAGCTATGCATTGTATGAAGGAACTTGGAAGGTTTTCAGTTAAATAAATAATCATTTTCATTGATTTCGGAATTTCTGTACAGCTCTGTCCGAGCAGCAGCTAGTGGAGTTGCAGAGAAACGAGAAGAGCGCTCGGGATTTCGTGCTCAGTCATATAGTTGTGGGAACGTACTTCACGAACGAGATAAGCAGCAACCAAGCAAGTTGATCGCGAATTCATTAAACGTGTTCATGGTTCAGGAAACACATTCGTTGGATTGTAATGTATTACAGATAGCCAGGACTCTGGAGGTCGGAATCCCTTTGCGTTTCCAAGTGTACCGAGGGAAATTCGGAATCGAGAACGCGCTTATCGTGAAACCAGATAGAGGGTGTAGCAACGGTGTTTTACACGTGATCAGTCACGTGCTGCACCCAGCGCAGGAATCCTTGGACTACATTTTAAGGAAGGAGGGTAACTTTAGGTAGATCGGAAATGAAAGTAATGATTGGTAGGGAGTAAAGCTTCGTTTGGTCGCGTTAATCCTCGAATTCGATGCGACTCTAAGAAAATTTTGCATTTTCATGTCTGCGCCATTCGGAATGTTCGCGTATATTCAGTATGTTTCAATTTTTCGAGATCAGTAGTTCAAAGATAATGCAGCTATGACAAACGCATAAACGAGTAAATTACGTAATCGTTGGGAAACGTGTTTACAAAAGCCAATGCCATTTGCTTCGAAAAATTTCACGATTAATGGCGACCGTTCTTATAGTCGAAATCTTATAAATTCTAATGGCGTGGTCGCATGCGTTGATTGAATATTTTAAATGCGAAATGTTCGTAGCATCTGGCTAGATGCAATGGAAAGGATTAAAGGTGTTCAACCGGAGATATATGATAACTTCAAACGTGCCAATTCTTCGTGCACGTACTTCATTCCCTCGGACGACGCTTTTCGACGATTAGGAAACGTTAAGCTCCGAAAATTGTTGGATGATAACAACTACTTGACGAAGGTATAGTAAAGTGAAGATACTCTCGTTACCCGAAGCAAACATTTCGATTAGCGAATGAAGTGTAAGATACTAAACTTCAAATGCGTGTTTCTTTATAAATGGGTAAATACATATTCAACGATTCCGCCGGATTGATAGCTTATAAGTTAAAATAAAACACGGAGAAACAATGTTTTGGTGTATCGAAGTACTACTTTTCAGACGGTGAAAAATCATATTGCGGACAATATGATGTTGTCTGAAAGTTTCGTGCCCGATTTGGAATACACTGTAAAAACGAAAGAAAATACGGTGAATATTATGAGGAAGGATGATAAAATACTGGTAAATAGTCTTTTACGTGCATATCACCGGTGTTAAACAAATGTGAAACGATTTTGCTGGATATATGTTGTCAGGTAAACGATGCAATGCTCGTAAAGGGGGATATTTTGAATAAGGCGGGTGTGGCGCATGAAATCAATTCAGTACTACTGCCCGATTACTGCCCCCATGGATATAGGAGAACGAAAGATGGTGTTGCAAAGAAGATATGTCTTTAGAAAATCGCATAATTACAAATATAAACTAGATAACAAGAATAGTGAGTTAGTAATACCAAATGTACCTAACACTTGTTGATGCATACGTAGATTTTATTCAGTAACAAATATATGCACTTCTGCTTCTTTGTGTATAATAATATATAATTATTACTCAGCAATAAAAAATTATTAAATAAATTGAGTAAGGTATTATGATCATAATTAAACGAATTACGTATCTTAAGTCGGTATTTCAATATTTCTAATTCTAATTCGTACAACTTATAGCGCTGCTGTGCAAAGCCAGCCTAAGTCGATATAACAGTGTGTGACAAAATTTTACCGGTACCATGTTTACCATTCCCGTGTCACTTGCTACCTTACCAACAGAGTCCAAATAAATATAAATAAATAAATAACATGTTCTTTTTTATTTTCTTGCTTCGATATTTAATATTTCACATCATCGGACACGAAGTCCTGCAAGGTGTCTAGTCTATCTTATCCATCGTCGGCAGTTGCAAATTTATTTTACGTTTCATCGGCAACACAGAGAATGATACTACAACTGTAAAATGTTTTTTATCCGAAATGTTGGGTTCGACGATACGAGGAATAAAAAAGAGTTTAGGAACCACTGTTTTAAGAGAAGTACATAGCTAGTTCAAGTTGTTTTTTTATTTGGTTTAATAAGGACATCGATGTATTACAGAGAAGTACGTCCGAAAATATGAAAAATAAGATCGATGAATAAAAATCCGCAAGGACCTAGTTTTCCAAAGTTGATCCCCATAAAACTGAACAATTTTACATGAAAAAGGAACATTCATTCTCGAACTCTGACATACGAACGGATTGGTAATGTCAAAACTAATCGCTTCCGATCATCATCCTCATTGCCTCATGCATAATTAACATTAATGTAATGTTAATGTTGGTGCAACGTATCCGAAATATTAGTATGTTATTTATGTCTATAACTATAGTATATTTAACGCTGCATACCGGCGAGGAAATGACGATAGGTAAATTTCTATAGGTAGTTGTGGAATGGTAATTACGCGTATAGAGTGTCTCGCGTGTGCGTCGTTAAAAAATTGGGAACGCGTTACAAAGTTCAAAATAAAGGTACGTTTAATTAGAATTGCGACCTTGAAAATCTCAAATGCATTCCATTAACAATCGTTAACTCCTAAAATGGTGCGAAAATGAACATTCGAATCGCTAAGAGAACTTGGAATTTTTGAACGGCAGTGCATCTTACGGAAATGAATATTGAAACACGTAAAAAATCGGTATAAACTGACAATGAACAATCAAATGTTACTTCTTGTGCATGCGTTCACTTATTAAATATGCATGTAGTGTCGTACGTATATATTATAGACTCCGCATACACATATATCTTTTACTTTTCCCAACATTCATACAACAATAGAATATTTTCGATAATAGTTAACCCTAAAACAAACCATGTATAGAACTATATCGTTCGTTTGCGACTCGTACGAAGCACCTCGAACCCGCACGTACCTCCATCAAAGTTTTAATCACGAAAATATTGTAACTAGTTCGCAAACATTTATGCAGCTTTGAAGTTGTATACATTAATCTTCGAACAAACTAACATTTTTATACGTTCCTCTTCTAGGACGAGACACACGTTAGACACAGTTAATTTTCTTCGTTTACGATTCTGTACAATTCAGTGGAAATTAACAGCTTCCACAATTAAATATTCGATTAAAGGAGTGTGTCTTCCTTTCTGATATCATCTGGAAAAGGTTATCAACCGTGAAATATTAAACCGTTTCGCTGCAGTCGCAAACGAACGATATGCAACTTCGTGTTGGTCCACTTACGACGATACCCGACTCGTTAACATTTAATTTGATTGGCATTTAGTGATCTACTTTCCTGTAATACTTTAAACCGTGTGCGCTCGAAGTTCGAGATCGTTTGTGCCTCTGTGATCTGTGTCCTATCGTCGGCGCTGATCTTAACACATTGTTCACCGGATATTTCATGCACAAACTAACGTGCGCCATCGAATTTTAATTACCGAAAAAGAAATTAAACTTTAAAGTATTCCACTTCAATAGCAGCCGGTTAACAATGCGTTAACTGGGTCATTTTCACGGGACTTTTCGTTCAGGCTTTTGAAGTCGATTTTCTTGGCAATTTTTCATCGATGTTCGCTAACTTTTAAAGGTTTTTTACACGTTTTCCACTTGTTCTCCATATTGTATCACCGTCTTCTCGGCTGTGCTGTAATTGCTGATACACCCTGCACGGAACAGAGCGTACTTCTTGACGGAGCAGTTACAATTAATCGATAGCGCGATATGTTGCGTTTATAGTCTATTTTTCGATAGGAGATACCTGACGAAAATTATGGCTCATAATAGCTGTCCACCACAATTGCTCCACACTGATGACATTTAGGTGCTCGAAGTTGAGTGGGCAGTTACTATAACTGCCAATATATACTAGACAGGGTTGTACAAAATATAAAGAAAAAATATTTCAAATATCGTTTAACATACTTCCTATCTCCTATGGTTTAGATAAAATAACAAATTAAATAGAGGATCCCATTATTTCGTATATTGTTTTAAATATTTGATCTAGCGTTCATCTAAAATTTCTTCTCTCGAGAAAAGAGATGATAACGCAGAAAATCGTCAATAGCCAGGAGGAAAAGTTTGTTGTCATCGGCGACTCACGTGACACGAAATGTGTCTGCATTGATTACAGGTTCTTGCGTCACTGATCACCGAGTACTCGCGATCTTGACGTACAATTATGCGATCAAATGGCGTTACATCGATAACAATGATACCTAACATCGATCCTTCCCTTCCTACAAGTATGATTGGATATCATTTAGTGGCGTAGATCAGAGGATGGAAAATATATGATAATCGGACTGCGGACGTTAATGCCTTTGCAAATGTATTCGAATGCTGGAAAGGAAGAAAGATTTTCTAGAAGTGAATCAACTGTCTGCTTCATCGCAAATCTCACTGAACGTTAGACCTCTGTTACTGGAATGAATATAAAATCAATTCCTGTTTTATAAAATTAGCGTCAAAGTGAGAAAATGGTAGTTCGCATAAACATCCGCAGCATAGCGATAATTCAACCCTGAATGATTCCATAGTAAATGAAACTCTTCTTTTAAAAAAATATGTTCGTTTTACTGAAACGTATGTATATATTTATGCGCGTATATATTTATAGATCTGTACTTACAACCTAAATAAAGCTTGCGTCAGGTTTTCATCAACTAATCGACTAGTTGATCGTTACGTTTAATTACAAAACGAGACAGATGTTAAACGTCGAACGATTCTCTTTGGTTCTCATTCCTTTCTTTTTTGTGTCCGTTTCCGAAGCGTTCATTCAAGAATCGCTGAACGTAATAAATTAGCATACGCCCGTTTATAGCGATACACCTTCTTCCCGTTCAGAAGAAACGAACTCTTCTGTTCTTCGAGTTAGCAGCCTTAAAATTCTTGCGAGAAACGTCCGTTTGAAAATTCAATGAAATCGATCGAACGGAACTTCTAACAGCGTTTCGCTATTCAACTAAATATTTTCCTATCTTGTGGACTTTAAGCTACCCTTAAGTCTTGCCGGTAAAATATTAATAACTAAAATAGTCTCGAAGTTCGTTGTATTAAAAGTAAAAGGGAAGAAACAGTACAAAATCTCGACGTTTTTGAAACGATACATCCCCTTGGGTCACTATTCGGCAGATGCTGAGTTTAAATGAAGGATATCGTTAGAATTGCTTTCGTATATCGAGCTGGAAACAATGTTCGTGCAACGAGGAGAAAAAATCCACACTTTAGTAGCAACTGAAGCATCTCTGAAACGCGTGCCTCGCACGCACACAACTACCAAATGATATTTAGAGAAGCAAAGAAAACAATGGGCGAGTCTATTGTTTCTAGGCCAGTGTTTTACCATTTGCCTTCGGCTGAACGTATTAAATTTACCTACGGCAAAGCGAGAGCATCCAGCTGCCTCTGTTTTCCTGAAAAAGCTAGGTTTCTTCTTTCGGAAGGCGAGAGATCAAATATCTTTGAGCGACTGTTCTTGTTTTAATGAAGAAAAAGCGAAGTTTGTTGTCATATGCTTCGCGAGCACAATCGTTCCTTTCGAGGCAACATTATTAACCATCGAACAGTCCGACAACGACGCAGAGGATCGGGACTAGGTCGATTGTGACCTATACAACAATTTCTTATTACGTCTAACCTTTGGAATCCTTTGTCGTTGACGATCCGTTAAAACACAAAAATATCAACCCCAATTCCTAAGATAATTGCGTGAATATCTTGCAGATTAAACCGCTTCAGAGACAATTTACATAATCATAAATCATCAACAATAAAGTAACCAGGAGACAATTGGAATTTATCGTTTGAAAAATACCGCAGTATCAGCTAGGACTAGAATAAAGAGTAGAATGATAAATAGGAAGCTCCCTCGTCAAGAATGATAACGTACCCAGCATCCGCCAGTGGTTCAGGGGCAAGAGCAGCGATGTCCTAGTCGTTGCTCGTGCTCGAGCCAGTTTCGGCTAACAGAGATCGAAGAGCGTCTAAGCGCTAAGCACAGGCCACGTCCCCAGCGAGCCAGAAGTCTCATGGCGGAGTAATCCCGTGCAGTCCAACCTTTACCCGAGAGTAAATTGGGCTTCCCCCTCCTCGCCCCCGTAGTTAAGGAAACTAAGGACACTACACGCCATCTCATTTACCGCTATCCGCGTCGTACTCGAGAATCCAAGCTCTCTGTCTTTTAGTGCCCGCCGGTGTCCTTTTGTCCGCGACGGAGCGAACGGGAGCGCAAACGCGTGGGTGGACCTCCAAGGGGACGCCACGGGGGTAATCTGCGAGCGAGCCGCCCTGTCTCGCGAGCCCTGCGAGAAACTGTACCCCCGGGGCTCCCAATATGGAGCGATTTCACTTTTAAGCAGGCCAACTCGAGCATCGGTTCTTATCGGTGAATCCTTTGCATCTCTTACGGTTCTAGCGTCCTCGTGTACGATACGACGTATCCGACACGGATGTCGTTTCAATTAAAACCGAAATCTACAGGTTTAACTGTCTTCTCGTTCCTTTGTCCGTCTCTTCTGCGGCTTCGTGCTTCACTTTTGGACTTTACCCGATAGTTCACTATTTGAATAGCAGAAATTATATGTCACAGGTTGGGAAACAGGTTGGGAACCACTGCTGTACCCTTTGTATAGTCTGGCTAAGCAAAGTAGATGATTTTAGAGAGCAGCAAGAAGGACGTAAGTACTTCTCTCTTCCCGACTTTCTTTATCTTGGCTAATATTCCCTTCTTCCTCCGCTCGCGCAGTTTTCTTTGAGCTTATGTCTCCCTCCCTTTGTTTTCCTTTTATCTTCCTCGTCACTCCATTTTGAAGCCACCAACGTACCCTAAGGAAATAAGGTAAATGGCTTTAAGAAGACACGAGCGATCCATCTTCTTTATCCATGCGTCTTACTCCTATTATCTGCGTATCCTTCTGTTTTCTGTTTCGCAACTCTTTATTAACCATTCCAGCTGTTCGTCTGCCTTTCTCTTGGCTCTTCGTTAAAGCCATACTCTAACGAACTAAGTGGCAAGTTCGAGGGAAGCATCGATAGATCAGAATGAACAGCCTCCCCTCTGGAGGCGGCCCTCTTTCTCTTAACCTAAACCGTTCTTTCTAATTACACACCCTCGCGTCTTCTCCTAGTCTTATCCCTTCGAGTCGCATACTCCTTAACATCCGTAGATCACTCTACCTTATCGCTCCCCTTTCTCGCCAACTTCCCTCTAACGCTAGAACTATCGAACAGTTAGACTTTCCCATGTCTTAAACAACTGTTAAAAATGTATTTGTGCAAGTGTACTTCAGAAGACGCGAGATCCGCTTCAGAATTTTTTACGAAAGCCAGAAGTCAATGCGGTTAAGCCGACTTTGGAATATTTCTTGATTTTTCTCAATTTTCATGGAATAAATATTCTTTTCAGTTATTAACGAATTTACTCGGTTCTTCGTTTGTTAGATCAGCGAGCCCAAATGTTGCATCCATTCCATAACAACATCGGCTTCTAGGGACTCGATTGTGAAGGATTTACAGACGAGTCGCTTTGACCAGTTCGGTAGTTCCAGTGTTAAAGCCATCGCCACTCTAACAGACTGAGCCAGACAGTGCCGAGTAAGTGTCAGCGGAACAGAGGCTCTCCTCTGCCGAGCAATATTTCCTTCTCCCTCAATTTGTGTACCCTTTTTCCTGCTCTCATTCCCTCCTCACCCTCTATTGACTGTCCCCAGCTCTTTCCCTCTGTCCGCGCTGGCTCCTCCATAAAACCATCCACTTCGCTTCGGCAGACAATACAATCCTCGGCCATACCGCGGCGATGTTTCCCACTCTTTTACGGGTTCGGTTCTTCGGCTGGCTCTCGGGAGCATCGAACGCGCCTGCCGCTCCCCTGCGCCTCCGCGTCGGAGCAGTCCTCGTCGCTCGAAGATCGACGGATTCGAGTTCCAGTTGTAGCGAGCTCTTTTGACGGGCACACACGCTCGACGCTCCGATTAATTCAGACGTAGTTGGCTCTCGCGGTGCAGCAGAAGAGATTGAGCGCGCCGCGAAAGTAGGACGATTGTCTGGCGGATCTGCTGCTGGGCCTGAAGTTGCTCTGATTCCAGCGATGGGCTCGCCGACCGTTCCCCCGAGTCCCTTTCCCGCCGAGAGTCTGCAGGGCGCTGTATTTCTCTGGAAACAGTCACGAACCCGATCCATTAACACGCTTTCGCAACAATTTCCTGAAAAAATACGTGGCAATGTTCGAATTTTGAAAAGGTCTGACTACCGTTTCAACGGCCTAAGAAAATCCCCGGCGGCCGACGAACCCCGTGAAAACCCTCGAACGTCTGGAGCAGATAGATTCCATCAGCCTCTTCCCCTTTGCTTTCCCCTCCCACGTGCAAAATCCGGCCGAAACTTCGAAATCGATTTCGGTGAACCGCGACAGAAGTTATTTATCGAATATAACATTACCCGCGCAGCGACGCTGCTGCTCGCTACGGCCAACCGACACCGCGCACCGAACGGAACGTATTATTTCGCAATTGTTCGATGACAGTTCCGTTAAATTGCATGGCCGAATGGTTGGTTGGCCTCTTCAGCGTGTAATTAGTTAATGGAGGGTAATTTCGCCAGCCCATGCCGCGGACGAATAGATCGTTAATTGACGGGAATTTTCTTCGGCGGTTTAAAAAAGCCGATTGTCCCGGGATTGGCGATAGTCGTGAACAGTTTCTCCCCTCCTGTCTATCCTCTTGCCCCTTTCTTACGGTTTCGTGAAAGCCCTTTTACACCGTGCACTCGACGAGGGCGGAATAGTGTGGCACAGTGACGAGCAACCTTTATTTCGTAGTGGATCGAAATTGAAAAGCTGACATTCTGTGGAGCGAGCGGGGTATATTAAATGCTTAAAACTCAGGAAAAATTATAATTTATCTACAGTTCTTATTCTTACTTCGAAACGTTACAACTGCCGAGCAGTGAAAGCTTTTTCAAATTTTTCTATAGGAACCCCAAGAGTGCAGCTATTGAGACTTCATTTCAAGCAATTTCTTTAATAATTTCTCGGAGACGAACGATTGCCAAATGAATCGAATTGACCCATTCTTGAATTCTTCCTCAGTTATTAAAAACAATTCGAGAATGGGTCTATTCGGTTCATTTGGTAATTCTAGCGTTGATATTTTTATTCCTCGGCGATCTAGAGGGCTGCGTACAAGTAGTCGGAGAACAACTGATCGTTGGTATAGTAGATTTTTGAAAGAAAAATCGAGGAAAATCGAAGAATGGACACAATTGATTCGCGTCGCTCGTTCGGCGACGACTAAACGCGTGTTTTCAGAGGACAAGTCTTTGCTGTCCGGAGTACGCGCGTAACGGGAGATGCGAAAGCGGCAAAGGCGCGAAAAATTATCGGGCAAATTGTAGCGCGGACGAGTCGCGCGCTTTCACGCGAGTGAAATATCCTCGCCATTAGCCAGGCAAGCTCAGGATCGTAATACCGTTGCCACGGGGATGGAAAGCGGAAAAATCATGCGACTCGCAGCACGATGAAAGGATGGCTTAACACTTCCGACGCGGCGACCGCGATAAATTGCGGAGTCTAAAGGTTGATTCTCAACGCCGTTAACGGCGACTGTCGCGCTCGACGGAGTGAGATGCAGTGGATCGTACCTGAATCAACGACCAACGAAAGCGTTTTGGGCAAACGAATTCATAAATGATAGTTGTTTCTTCTAATTACTAAATTCATTTGAAACTAGGAATGATCGAATGTTAGTTTTATTGGACGTATGTACGCGATTGAATGGAATAGGATACTATTAATATAAGACAATAGAATAATGGAATAATGGAATAATGGAATACAGAATAATTGATCAGTAGAATAATAACATATGGAATAACCGAATTATAAGCGCCAGAATTTAGTTAATACGCCAACAAAATTTATTTACACGACACGTTCAACCAGCTAAAGCCAATAAGAAAGAAAAAACAGTAACATTACCTCTCCACTTCCGCAATTCTCCACGATAAATCAGTGAATCCCCGCAAATACCCTCTCCACAATTCAGTTCTCAAAGGCGACCATCCGAAAATCCTCTCTCGAATCAATGTTACAACCTAACAGTCCTGAAGCGTCCCACTCGACGGTGCAGCGCGACGACCACCGAACGCCAGTGGAAATCAACCCTAATCAGGAATATTCGTTCGCCTCTCAGTCACTTTAGTCCCGCGTTTTCCCGGCGAAACTTTTAACTCTGGCCGGTAGCTAAATGCCACTTAAAAATTAGGAACGGGTTCCGCGTTCATAGCAAATTCTTCCGACGCGGTTCCCAATTAGAATTAGGTCGCGCGATAGAACAACGCTACGCGTTATCCACACGCAGAAATTGAATTATTTCGCGATTATTGATATCTTAAAAGTGTTCAACACCTAAAATGCTTCGAAAGACAAATAGTTTCACTTCGATGCTATAATCAATATCTAAAGAAACCGAAAAATATCTATTGTTTCAACTTTTACGAAGATTACCTGAGTAATCGTGTTAAATTCTCTGCAGTCCTAGCATTAATAAAAATTAACGACACACAAACGGAGCAGTCCTCGACGATAAGAACCCCGATGTTCCAAAAACGAAAATAACAGGCGCACTAAGATGCTTAAATAATTTTCCTTACCTCTGTCGCTAATTTCAATATCCAACAATCCGCGAGTGAAAAATTCAACGGGGTCCTTTTCACGTTGGCTCCGAAATTCGCCGGCCATTTCGCGGAGCATTAAATAAAAAATCACGGTCTTTTGTCCGCGATACCGCGGCCCGGGGCTCTCTTTATCGGTCACCGTATTTCGCTCGGACGTTCCACCCCCCGCCCTCCGCGGCGAAATTTTGCCAACCCTCTCGTTTTCGACGTCGAACCCTTTTTCGGTCGCCGGTGGCTGGCATTTCCCCGGCATTTCCCCGGCATTTCCCCGGAAAGCTTAGCGTCCGCCGTTCCCGGCGTAAAAATGAAACTACCGTCGCCCTTGACCCCGGGACACGCCGAGCTCCACGCAGATAATACGTCGCAGCCATTCGCGCGGCGTATTAACCGCCACCCGGCCACCGATTTCATTTTAAACAAATTGCCTGGAGCGGCCCGATTTCCCTCGGTTCGCGCCTCTCGGTTTTCACCGTCGCGCTGCAATGTTTCAGCGTTCTCACGCTGCTCGTTTCGAAGTCACGCGACTTATTCGATATTTCAGGTGTTTCTTAGGAGGTTTACTTTGTTGAGTTTAACTTCGCAGCTGTTTCCAATGTAGTACACGTTTAGTTAACGAATACATTCCACTGCGACTTTCTCTCGAATGTTTCTATTGGAATGACAATCTATGGATTCGACAGGATGAAATGATAATCAATTAGAAAGAACGGATCCGAATCTCCATGACAATATTTATGAAACAAGTTAATGTTCGTTACGCGCCGATCAATTGTACCGAACAGAGGCGAATACAAACTGATTCGTGTTGTTTGTTTCCCGTTGTTTGCTGTGAAATAATAGTTCATTGTCAGCTGAAGTTCAATATATTCGTTACAAGATTGGTTCCGTTTTATTAACGTCGCAGACGTATTCTCCTTTCAGCTGTTACGTGTATAACAAGTCAATTTCGTTGCGACGGTTTGCTTAATCAACGAGAAAAACGATGTTATCAATTAAACCGTCGCGACGGGTATTAAGTATGTATCTCCTTAACGACGCTGGAATTGTAGAAATTGGCGCAATTCGCTGGACGACCATGCGAACGGAAGGGTGGAAGGCGTACTCGCGATTATGTGCTCCGACGTAAGAAACGAACGACACGGAACGGGAACGAATAAAAGCTTCCGGACTTTCCGTTCGATGCCGCGGATCGATGTTCCGGTGGAACGCCTATATCGCGAGCCACGTTGGGAAGAAAGGGAAAGAGGCAACAGAGAAGAATCGCGCCGATAACAGCTACAACAGCCAAGAGAATGTCAAGAGAGCTCCCGTCTGATTTTTCTGCTTCGTACACATTCAAATCTGCAACCAGGATTTATGGAACCGTTCCTTTTGTGCAGCGTGCTCCGACAATAAGATCCTCCGACAACCGTGCACGTATTTCGTAACCTCGAAATGCGAGAGGAAAAGAATATCTTCGAAAATGGGGAATTTATAAGCGAGAATAGTAAACTCGGCAATGCGAATGTTGGCAGTACTTACAAATTAATTTACGCGAAATTAAAATTACACGTGGACTTGCTTCTGTTACTAGGAGCTGTTTTTTAGTACGAACATATTTCTCCCTTTGGTGTTAATAAGGTACGCACTCGAGTAAAAATTGGACTACGTATGTATTCGTAGAGTGCGTTCATTCAATATCTTTGGTTTCCTGTCAATTTTTTGCATTCCAGTTATTTCCGTGCTCACACGCGGAAAGAGATATTGAAAAGCGAAAACTATTTATTTTTTTTTTCGAAGGGCCCTTAATTCAATTTCTCCTCTCCGCTGCAAGCGTGAATAACGGTCCGACTTTTTTTTCGCGTCGAAATAAATTTCGCTCTACTCCATGCAGATGCATCTTTCTTGATCCTGCGACGAGAAATAAATTCGTACACGGAACAAACGCGCTCGAAAAGTCTCATTTTAAAGGCATTAAGTGGAAATGAACTCTTCAAACATGCGGAGGCTCGGAATTTTTAATTCCCAGAGTGAAAAATTAATCTTTCGGCGGAAACGCCGGGAACGAAATACCGTTTTTGATACGGCTGTAAACTTTGTGAACTGGCGTTCATTGGTTCTCCATTACCAAACCGCAAAATATTTCGCGTCTACGCCAAACAAACCAGCAAACCGATAAATCCGAATGAAACCCCGCTTCACTTTCACCTCGGCGAAATTTCCGATAACGAATATAAATTCCAGTTCGACGGCAATTTTTCAAATGGATCCACAGTCGACATACTCGATCTACGAACATCTACGTGTCCTTGCTGAAACAGGGTCAAAACCAACTAGTAACATAATACCATTGATACATACTATCGCAAATACAATAATAATACTACTTCCGTAATAATATCAATGTACCGTCAACATCAACTTTTCGTTTCTTCGAAAAAACACGAAATTTGCAGTCGAGATTCACCGTGCACTGATCGCTAAGAAGCTTCGCGTCGACATAAACACGACGCGTGCTCGCGTCAGCTGGTAAGTGCGTGTCGCGCGTGTGTATTCGTTGTCCTATCGCGGCAGAAATAAACAAACAGCGAGATCGAATCGGAATCGTTCGTCCCGAACGACACAGGAGCATTTTGTACGGGCGCGCGGGCTCGATTGTTCCGCGGGTCTCGTGGCTCGAATTGGTTTATCGGTTCGTGGTCGGGCATATTTCTCTCGCGGAACCTCGATTTTCCCACCCTTTTTCAGCGCGGTGGTCGAATTCTCGTTACCGCGGCGACCGGCGAACGGCGAGAACGCCACCGCCGGTTTCCATGTGCCCGTCTATCCTTGACCCGATCTCCGTTTAACGTTAAATAATGTTCTATCGCGCTTCCCGTTCGTCGCGCCCGTTATTTATTTGTCCGCCGACTCGTTTACGTATTCACCTGTCCCCGTGACAAATATCGCGAGCTCTGTCAACTTCCGAACGTTACACCGTCGTTTGGAAGTTTTCTTGTCTGCGAATCGGCGATCGCTTTCACGTCTCATCGAAATGCTGACGTTCGTCCGCAAAGGGTTAACTCTTAGCACTCCAGATGGTTTTATCTATCAGCAACTGCAACTAATTTTTATAGTATAATGAAAATGAAAAATGCAACATTCCTTCAACCTTTTATTTCCCTTCAGTACAAAATTTGGATGTGTGGAAAATGTAATGACTTTTGAATATTCAATATTACTACTGATGCGATATTGGAGCCTACAGAGTTCGAAGGGTTAAACATAACCGAGATATTTCTGCCGAGCCGACGCAACAAATCCGTCCGCGAAGCGTCGCAGCCACCGACGAAGTATATCACGTTTTCTTCGGGCACCGACGAGTGTTTGGCTACGAGCCCAACCCGTCGAGATAGGATCGCGCTTGTGTGTTGCATCGTGTATACGAAACGCAACGAGCCGGAAGGTCTTTCTTCGTAACTTCTTCCCGGCGACTACGGAATTCAGCGGTGCGTTCACCCTTTTCACTCGCGTTTCCGCTACACCTTCGCCCGGGACTCTCGCGTTCCCTTCGCGAACTCTCTCGACGCAGCGTGCATAAAACTTCGAGGCGGAGGGATGAAAAAAGAGAGAGAAAGAGAGAGAGAGAGAGGGAGAGAACGCTACCCGTTTTTCGGTCGTTTTATACAGAAGCCAAGCGATTCCGTTTGTTTTCTTATTTTCCCTCTGCGTGTGGAGAGGCGCGAGCGCGGGCGCGTTCCCTCTCGAGCGTGAATTTCCCGTCCGCGGAACGTTCAAGGAAGTCCGCGTTTCCGGCCGACCTTGACCCGGTTCGTGTTCCAATGTCACACTCTGTTCCTCGTTTCTCTGTTATCCTCTTTCTCCCTCTCTCCGTCTATCTGTCTCTTTTTCTACCTGTTTCCCGATTGTTCTCTCTCGTTTTTTTCCATGTTCCCCCGCCTTTCCTTTGACAGCCTTTTAGGAGAGTCGGCTATAATTTCAAATATTCGTTAAGAGCGGTTCTATTAATCGTAGATCGGCGAATCGTATTCGGTTCGTTCGAGACCAGTCGCGCGTCGGGTCGAAGTACCCGATCGAAAAGATCAATCGTACGGCGTGTGTGCGATAATCGCGTGCGATTTTACTAGAACCCGTCTATAAATTGATTGCTGAGTTCGATGTAGATCAAAGGAGCAAAGCAGCTCCGAATAAACGGAGTCGATGAAAAAATTGCAGCGCCCGAAGATGGATCTCGAAAGGAGCAGAGATACTCGTTCCGCGTAACGACTCCAATCGGAGCTACGCGAACGAGCTGATTGAGTCAATTGTAAAATCAATTACGCGCGTGCGAAGCGCGGGGGAAGACAACGAGCGATGCGGATGATTATGAAGAGTGGCGAGAAGTTCACGGAGAACGAAACTTTCGTCGTCACCCGCATCCGCGCGTCTCGCAGAGAATATAGAAGGTCCCCGGTAAAGAAGCTCCGAGTCTAAAAGGTTAACACCCTTTGTTTCCGTCGACTCGTTGTTCCCTCGACGCGAGCCGCGAAACAAGAACCTCGCGACGATTCGGTGTCGAAGGTCACGGACGATCCCCGCGGTGCTCGAACGACGCTCGAGCGATGCTCGGCCCACGGGGAACACCCGGCTGAATTCTGTCGTTCTATCGACGGATAATTAAGGTCGCCGTGCACCATCCGGCCGAGAATCGAACCGGATAACTTCTATAGCCGTGCCTTATCCTGTCGGGAGGTAATACGTTTGTTCCGTGGAATCAATGGGGACCCAGGGAACCCGTGCCGCGGTACGAGTTACTCGGAGCCAGACGGACGGAGACGGAGAGAGCTTGTTCCCCTTTGAAATCCAGACCTTGGCCTCCGGAGTAACCCGATTAGAGGTGGTTGAATAGAGAGGGCGAGACCGGGCGTGGGTGGCTGCTGGTAAAGAGGACGACGGGGAAGACGGGCGGACGCGCGCCGCGTTAGGGGACAAAGGGATGCGTTCGTGGATACGCGTGATCGAGTTAAGGACAACCATATTCCCGCTGGCGTCCACCTCGCCGCCAGTTTTTCTTCGAGCTCCGGGGGGCGCACTTTCGAGGAGCCTCTCGCTCTGGAAACCACCCTCGCGGATTTTCGACTTCGCAGTTTTCTATTCTTTTTCGGAGAATTCAAGAGACTCGTACTTCCGAGTTCTCTCGAGTTTCGTGTGTTTCTGACGGTGTGGAATGTTATGCATTATTATTATCTGTTCGCTGTGCAGCACGTTATTCTTGAAGGCAACCTTTTCAATTCTATTTTGTTGAGACTTATATGGGACATGGTTTTCAAGGAAATATTCGACACGTATCTTTTCTTATCTGCCCACGTCCGCTTCGAATGCGTGAAGACACCCCTCAAAGTTGAGGGTTGAAAGTACATGTTTTATATCTCTGAAACTAGGGGATGTAGAAAAGGAATTTTCTTATTAAATTGATCGCCTGAAAATGAACAATTTAGATTCCTCTTCTGCGCACCCTAGTTTCAGAGATGTTGTAAAACATGTATTTTCAACCCCGAAATTTAAGGGTGTTTTCTCGAGAACTATGTCACGCATGAGTTTCATCGAAGTCGGCGTGTTGGTTGAGAAGGTTCTCTTGGTGGTATCTTTCACTTAATTCTTTTGTCTTGTCACTGTTCTGTCGATTCTATTAATTAATTCGTTATTACCTGATGATTATCCCATGTATTATCTCTTATACGATCTAGCAATTATTCGTAACCCACATAAAATTGCTCCAACTGTTAAGGAAGCAGCTGCGAAGTGATTAAAGCGGTACCAAAAATATCCTCAAGAATGAAAGACGAGAGGAAACTGCACGCCGGCCTCGCGAGGATTCTTCGAGTACCAACGCGTCGACAAAAACGGCCGTTTTTCCATGTGCGTGCCGGGGGAAATCAGCGAACGAAACGAACGATTGCGTCGATTTCTAAAACGGTTAACCCCCGCCCGCTCCCCGTATCTCGCCGGGGAAACCGTCGATACGGTTTTTATCTGTTCAAAAGACAGCCGATATATTTCCGCTTTGATAAGCAACACCGTTCGCAACGGGCGCGCGGTATAAATTCGAGAACGGGGCATACGGGCTCCGCCGTGCCGTGGAAACGAGAGTAACAAGGCTCCGAGCTGGAACGCGGGGAGGCCGGAAAAATGGTCGCTGGAAATACGACGTTACCTATATCGCCGTCCGACTGGGGCATAAACTCTTGCAGTTCGTTGATCAGCTCTCGAATTTCCTCCGAGTCCTTTTTGATGCTGCACAGCTCCTCCTCGTGGAAGTTCGGCGTGATCTGTTTGCACAGGAGGATCTGCGAGATCACGTTGCCGATGTTCGACGGCCCGGTCCGGGACTCTGAAACACGAGATAACAGGGGAAAAAATTGTTGACGCGTGGAGCACCCTAAGTGGGCATGTATCACGCTGCGAGGGCTGTTGAACTAGCTCTTCGACGAGAGTCAAAAATCTCCTTTTCACATCCGGAAAATCAAAGATCGTATTCTGGAAACATTAACACGCGATTGCGAGAGGATTCGAGATAACGGTTCTCAGCGTTAAAGATCCTATTACAAAAACGTTAACGCTCCCAAAAGATAGGAAATAGTTCTCCGCTGTCACCGCACTCCACGACGTTGATCTAAAAGATCAACCAACGCCGGAACTATCGCGATTAAGTATGCGCTAATACATCTTGCCGCGAGCGATAAGAAGAAAGACGTCGGGCAAATATTATCTCCATACTCCGTAATGCCGGCATACGTAATTTGCTTGCATTAATGGATAATGTAACGACGGTTCTCGGCAGAGACACTTTGCCGGGAAGTTTGCCCGGCTCCTCGAGAAGTTACCGCAGGATTCGGTCCCCCCTCCCGCCGTTCCCTCCGTCGCGACGACCTCAACAACTTGTCACTGGGTCGTCGCGATGTTACATTCATGAAGAGAGCTCGCCACGGGCCTCGTTGTCGATTTATTTAAACGGCGCCGCGTGACCCTGACCCGTCCATCCGGCCGGCCGGCCGGTCGGTCGGTCGGTCGGCCGGTCGGTTTGTTCCTGGGAATTGAACAAAAGGGATTGTACAACTTACCGTAATACCCGGTCATGTCCATGGGCACGATACGGATCAGGTTCTCGCTCTTGTAGAGCTCGCGCAGGAATAATTGAACGACATTGAACAGCAACATCAGATTGGGACAGTCCACTGGGATACCGATGTCCGTAGTCCTGCGAAATGAACACGGTTCGCTGGCTTGTTATTGCTGTTTCTGCACTTGATCAATTATATAACAGGATATAATGCCCGGTTATTCTATTATGCTAGATTTTAGTTATTATTATTTCGAACTGTCGTCGAAGCCTTTCCATTGTTCCCTTCGCGATTGTCGCGTACGATCAATACCGACGCGGATACTTTCGACATTTTTTTCGGCGTTTCGCTGCTCTTTGCGAATATTATTGTCATTATTGTGATTCGATAGGAAAGTTTCCTCGTTTCACGAACAGACCCTGCCTCTTCTACTTGTCCCCGCAATTATTACTTTTTCCCTTTGCCCGGTGACCGTAATTCATTCGGCGGTTGCTAGAAGTCCGGTAAATCCTAGCCACCAGGCTTATCGAGTTAATTATTTGAAAAATGCAACGCCCGGCGGGATCGAAGGGAAGTACCTCGGGGCCAATTAGAGACCGACATTTTCTTTTCGCTGGCCACACTCGAGAAACGCTAGGACGCCGCTTATAAATTGTTGAAGAGTACATGACCCGTTGCCGCTGTTTAGGGAGTTCGATCCTGAAACCGTGAGACTGTAGGGAAATGCGAGAAAGTTTTCTTCCTAATTGGTCGATGTTTAGTTTGTGCCAAATATTATGATGAATATATCGTTATAGGATATTATTATTAAACGTTGTTGTCGTAAACTGTTGCTTCCATCGTGTACAAAACATTCTTGCCATAATAGGTATTCAAACGATCCAGCAGGCCTCTGATAACTGTTTTGATTAGTTCGCTAATATTCGGAGCAAAGGTGTATCCACAGTGTTCCTAAACTATTGGCGAAAGCTTAACCCGTTAATTCTCGAAGTTCGAAGAAAGGATAGCGCGCGAGGAGGACCGCCGAATTCGCAGGCCAAGGGAACTTTACATCGATGCTAGTTTTCCTGCGCGAAACTTTGGAAAAACCTTCGGATTTCGTGTACAGGGCAATAAATAATTGTTTCGCATTCCTTTGTACGAGAGAACTAGGTCTTGTTTACCGTTTTCCAACTTGCGAGTTCGACCGGACCTTGTTTGCGAGTCCCGGGGCTAATGAAACTCGTTAAGAGAAACAAATATGGATGAACGAGAAAGGTCAATTGTTTTCGAGATGTTCAATTTTTTCAACGGCATCACTTTAACGTTTAATAGTTGGCTTTCTTGCAGGACTACAAATATTTACTAATTCTTTACTTGGAATAAAGCATCATAACTCGTCTCCGATTTCTTCTGTAATTACCGAAAAGAACATATGCCTCCTTAATTTTTCAAAAGTAAAAATGACATCCTCAAATTGGTAAATCTCAATAAACGCGGTTCTATGGTTTCCATAGAGAAACAGAGAACAATCGACTCAACTGCTAGCTCTAGAACGAAGTGTTAATCGTCGAACGTCGCGAGATTTTGTCCTACATAAAACGGAGGATATTCCATTTTTTCTCCGGCTCGGAAAAATATTCCCCAGGAACCCGTCCCCTTATTGCAAAACAAGAATTCCCGGCAATCCCTAGAACCCGCCGGTACACGAACTTACATTTCCCCGACGAAAGCCTCGAAGGTACTTTACATTCCTCGAGAAAATACTTTAGTAACTCCATCTATTCCCCACGAAACGAGATCGCATACCTCGCGTGTCCTTTTTTTCTCGGCGCTCGGTTCGCCGGCGGTGGCGAAATATTTAAACGCTGTTACCCTTAAGAGAAGGGACGCGAACCGTGAGCGTTTCATTCGTAACGAGGCCGGTTCCGCGCGGTTTCGCCTTCCGACGTGGCCACTTGCTTCCTGTTCGCGTGAAGGAGGACCCAGAGAAATTCCGACAAGACCATCCGGCCAACCTATTGCATAACAGCGTCAACATTTAAACACCGCCCGCGAGACTTTTCATTTTTATATTTATTTCACTGCTACGTGGAATGCCAAGGTATCACCTTCCGGTATCGAATAATATATTTATTTAACACGAGAAATGTCGGCTGGATGCGAGGCAATGGGTTCGCTAAATGTTCCAAGTATTTAATGATTGTGCGAACAACTCTGTTACTGTACACTACATTTAATTGGATAATTAATTCTGCTGGTAAATCGCTAAATGTAGTTACTATATATTTTGAAATATGGAAAGGATTAAATGCTAGATTATTTTCTAGATACTTTTCTACCTACTAGAAAGATGTTTCGAATATAAAAGGCTAAAGGGACAACAGGATTGACATTTATTAACGGGTGTATCATCGAATCGGCCCAGCAGTCGGATTCGCGAAATTGACAGCGCGCTGCGCTCTTTCCGCGCGGCGGCCCGTAAAACCGGGAAAGATCGACTGCGACACGACAGAAAATATTTCCTGACGTTTTACAGTCGCGTAAATCGTCGGCTGCGAGGTGGGAGGATCGAAACGTCGATGCCCCGAGACGCGTTCGCGTGACTCTCGTATTTCCCCTCGTTCCGCCCTACCGTCGAACGGGACGAAAGATGACTTGTACGTGTTCCGTGGCCTCGTTCGACCCCGCGACCATTATTTAGGCATCGTAAAAATCTAATAAAACGTCGGACCCGGTGCCGAGAATCAATTTCAGTTCCCATTTAAACCCTTGCTTTATAATATCTACTTACTCATCGAGGAACAAAGACAATGAAGTTCTCAAACTAAATTCCGCTCCTTCGAATGGAAATTCAATTATATTTCTTACGAAGATTTAATATTTCCAATAAACCTAGATGTACAATAAGGTAGAGTTCTTTTTTCGTAGTTAATTGGTAAGGACAATCTTAAAGGATTAAGATTGGAATTACGATGGGTCGAATGTGTTAGTTTCGAAGCGATTCATTATCGCTGGTAAATAATAGCGAATAGAGAATATTTGAGTCGAATGTGTCTATTTTTAGTTGAACGCATAGCCCAAAGTGGAGCAGAGCCTTTCCAAAATGGCGTATCTCGTTCGTTATCGCTATACTCTCCGCTATCTAGACATTTAAAGTGTTTTATTAACAACATTTCATTCTCGTTGTAAGGTGCAACCTTATGTCACGGTAGCCGAGAGTGAAAGGGTTAATTACATTGTACAATAAATGTACTTTCTAGGGAAAAAAAGGAGAATTTGTGGGCTACAAAGTGTGATATCTAGACCTTCATCTAAATTCAACGTTTAACTATTCGATAACACGATTAGAAAAATAGAATCACAATAGGAAAAGGTTTTTCCTATGAGTCACCGTAAAAAGCACTACACTTCGAGTACTTTATATATTTCTCCGTATCGCGCGCACTCTGTGCAATTTCACGCTCTCTTTCCCATAGAGTAAGTCGGAGAGAGATGGTCCGGCTTTATTAAAAAACAAATACATCATAAATATTATTGATACCTAAGAAAAAGATATATATCTGCGAAAGCAAATACGATTGAAGGATGACTCGGTGTCTAGTGAAACAGCAGAGAACGGAGAACGATCAAACGCGAACAATTTTAGCGTGTCATTCGGTATACAACTAGAAACAAGCGAGAATATGAACATTTGACAATTAAAATAAATGAGAGTATACACATGTGACGATGAAACAAGATCGAACCGTCTCATCTGAAGTTTTATAAACTCAGCGTATCTCTCCTACCTTATCTCCGCTTTCTCGTGACCAAGGTGGAAAATACGTAAACGTATCGCGACGATAAATCACTGGCGGAATTGTTCCGGCCGTAGAAATCCGTTCGCGGAACCGGCAGTTCCATCGGGAGCGTGGCCGCGCGTTTACAATTAAAAATTGTCGGCCACTCGAAACCGCGGGTTTCGCGTAAACGTTTCCACGGAAAATCGGCCGCGATCGACGCATTAATTGCACGGTACGCGGAAAACGGAGGAGCGAGCGAGTCGCACGAATTTCACGGGAACACGAAAAGGAACGAGGTTTCGTGTCGCGCCGACGCGCAATCGATACTAAAGTAGCGTGATTTTGCCGGATAGCCATCGCGGGATATACGTTTATTATTCTACAGCATTAACGAACAGTTGGAAGGACACTTTGCAGGATGTCCGCGCGGTTATTGGACACCGTTTCTTTCGCGTCTGATAAGGGAGCGTTATCGCTCCTTTCAACGAAAATTAATAAGTGGGGCCAATCAGATTATATTACAGAAGTCAGACTGTTGGAACAGTTTCCTTAATACCATTTCTATCGGAGGCGTTGAGAGACACGTGAAACTTCAACTGAGATCCAGGAGTAGGTGGAGAGAGCGTACTAAATTAACTTTGCTAGGAAAAGTTGAAAAGTGAATGGAGAAAAATTGATTAAACTTTGAAACTGAATGTAAAATTTCAGAAACTCGACACCTTCGGTAGAGATGACATCTATTATTCTATACAAAACATCATTATTAATATCCGTATGATATATTATAGAAGAATATATACAATTTCCCTTGTATCCAAAGAACGTTCGAGGCTCGCAACTTCGTGAAAGTCCACACTCGTTTAATAATATCTTACGTTACATTCTCCATCGTTATCGCGAGGGTATCATCCGGTGGACGTAGCGAACACTCGCTTTGATCCAGTTCTCACGAAACAATCCATGCAACAGCGAACTCGCATAAAGATCCGCAATCTGCTTGTAACATTACCGCTCGTGGCCTCGTCGATCTTCCGCAGATCTCGCCGGCTTTCTTTCGCAGCGTTGCGTACGGAGGAAAGGGGAACGCGACACGATTATCGCTCGGCTCGCGCGGTGTGGGTGTTTAAGCATCGCTTAAATCGCAATTAGCGTGCGTTTGACGTTCGAAACGTAGCAGAGATTATGCAGCGACCTTACGTGAACCGGGGCAGCCCGTGGGCGGCGTCGAACGTTGTATGCACGCATCCACCCCGTCTCCGCCCCGACCCCTCCTCCCTCGCGCCGCGTATTGTTATTAAGTAATTATGTAACGGGACGACATATAATAAACGAACGTGTAACGTCCCGATTCAATTTGCGCGGAGATTGCGCCGCAGCACGGCTTGAAATAATTGATTACCGCCGGAAACTTCCACCTCCGAGTGTTTCTTGTTCACCCGATCGCGGCCGCCTCTCGACAAAACCCCGAAATTCCACTATTCAGATAACAAACATGAACGGTCACCAACGTGTTGCTAAGTAGACCATGCTTTACAAAAAAATCTTCCGAAAAGTAACAATTTTGCGCGAATCTATTCCATTTCTCTGTTCGTTCAACGTTGGAATCGAAACGCGAAGCATCCATTGTCGTTGGAGAAACTTTATAATATTCCCATAATGCGAATAAATTATGACCACCATATATTTAGCTCTATACCTTACAACTTTTGTCTAAAGAGTTTCCTCGCGTTACTCGTACTTTTTAAGTTATCGCGTTCTGTTCAGAAAACGACCGTTTGACCGCACCGCCGCGCCGCGACGCTACTTCAACGGGGAATATGGAGATTCGTATTAGACAGCCCCGTGTATGGTCTCCATTAGAATTAAGTAGGACCGGAATTAAGGAAGACGTCCGCGTTTCCGGGGATTTTTCAATTATTCAGATTCCCGCGCCGGGCTTTACGCGGGATCAAAGAGAATCCGCCTGGCTTGTATTCTGTGAAATAGCTGGAATTATTACTGGATAAGGTTGATTTGAATTTCAATTTTCGGCGGTTGCTGCAGGGTTAGCGGAGTTCGTTTCGATCGAGCGAAACGAGGCTGAAGTTTCTTTCGAAATGATGCGCGGATGTTTGTTTAAATAGTTTGAAAATGGTAAAGACGTAACTTTATCGAAGACACAATTAGATATAATTATCGCTTTACGTGGTTATTCGCGAAGCTTTATCGACGGTACGATTACAGAAGGCAAGGAAGATTAATCCCTTTGAAATTTCAAAACCGCATTTGCATTGTAGAATCAGCTCGGGGGAAAGAATTACCGAGAACGCGGAAGAGAATGGGGAGCACATGAAACATTTAGATTTTCATTAGATCCGGCACACCACCGGAAGATAATTTTTCAAAGCCACGGAAATCTTTGGAGATTGGACGTCGGTCACTGTTCTCCGGAAACCAATCCCAAGGAATCGATAACATTCCTCGCCGTCAACTTGAAAGCTGAAGCCGTTCCTCAGGGCGCTCGTCCCTTTCGTAACGATCGAAGTAGTATTCCTAACAGCGTCGAGGATTGTTTACAAATTGGAGAATTTAGCCGGCATTATGAAACGAGAATAATTAACTCCTTGCCATCGGCACTTGACCTTTGAACTATTCTTTACGACCCATCTAACAATCGAAATAATTGCCAAGAGATTACTTCATCCGGAAGCTATGCAAGCAACATAATCTTAGAAACTGTTTTCCCCGAAGATCCAGGTACGTCTCTTTCATCTTCGGAGAATCAAGCAGAAGGACGCCCGGCAACCCCAATATGTAGGGCAATTTGCGCCGTGAAAGGATGAGGAATCTCCTCCGTAGATTTCGTCGTGGACGAGGGTGGGTATCGGGCATTTTTTCTCGGAAATTAGAATTTTTTTCGCGCGGTTCCTTTTTGTTGCGGCCCGTTCGAACGTGAAACGATCCCGGGATCAATCACCCGTTGTTACGTCCGTGGCAGGGGGGAGGATCAACTTTTTCTTCCACCGGGGGCGGGAATTAAACGTAATTCGGGGGAACAAACGCGGCCGTAATAGCTGCGATAAATCCTTCGGCACAATGGGAACGGACAATGGCTTTTATTTAAGGATTTCTGGCTCGCGGGGACGCGCTTCCGAGTAGCGCACCTGAAAATCTTCCCGCGAAACGGAAACCGGTCACGGAACGCGTACCCGGGAACTGTTACTTATGAGATACCGAGTATATACACCGGATGATTCCGGCTACGTGTCTAATATCTCTCGATCGGTTGTATTAAACTGTCCTATAGCTTTCTCTCGCGCTTTCACTGCAGTGTTCACTCTAAATTAAATGAAACAGTTTCGGAAAGATGTTACGAGGCAAGAAAAATGAAAAAAAGTGATAGATGAGAATTTAACAGAAGTCAATAATATTTTCGCGTCTGCTTTTCCAGTAATTGTAAAGGAAGGATTAATTAAAGGAAAGGAATTTTTGGAACAAGCCAACATTATTCTCTACGGTGTGAATTATACTCTTGCGATAAGCACTGAAATAATGGAGTAATTCCTTTAAATTGGATTTCGTCGTTTTTATGCAAAGATGTCGACGAGTCTCTTCGTAACAGGCTCGTTCCGTTTGGATGAACTAACTCCAGTTTGAACTATCTCTTAAGATACATGGTACTTGGATGTCTCACGAGGCACTCTCTTTGTACAGCGATCTATGTACCGCGTTAATTGAAATTTCATTAACCGGAACCGACTCCGGACTACTCCTACCTGCCGCGCGGCGTCTTCGTTTAACGTTCGACCGGCCTAACTGACGTAAACTGGTTAATTAATCGCCTTCGATTTTCCCTTTCCCTTTCTTCGGGGAATTGTTTACGCCGCCGCTCGTCGATTGATCGCGATCGTCAATCGAATCTGCAGCGTTGCGCGAAACCTAATGAACCTGAATATTTCATTCGTTTAAAGCAAAATAAACTGTTATCATTCCGTTATCGGCATTTCATCCAAAGAACCCAGAATTTCTCTTTTAGCTGATTATTCAATTCACCAACAAGGTAACCAACGAATCAACTAATCGCGCGTCTATCCCAGAATTTCGCTGTAAAGGGAACGAAGAAACGTTTATCGTGGCTGAAACGATAAATTAACATTCCGACGACGTAACAAACGTTCCCGGTAACGCGTCTCTGATTCGCGACGAAGGCTGAACTAATAATAATAATAATAATATTCGGCGGAAGAGCGAAGGAGGCGAAACCGGCGCCGAGGAAATGAACGGAGCTGAACGTTGCGTTGCAAATTCCCCGGAACAAGCTGCATGAATATGTTACATACCTCCGTACTTGTGGCAGTATGTGCTGGGACGAGGCTTTACACGCTTCCACGCAATTTCGACGCAGCCTTCGGATTTTCTCCCGCAGCTCCGGACAGTCGCGAGCCTGTCCGATGTTTATCAGCAGGTCGCGGAACTGCGCCACTTGGCTGTTGATCTCCTCTATTTGCTGCGAATCAAAGGTAGCCTGTAGCTAAATACCACGTGTATCTGCTGATCAAGTAAGTGTAAATATGAAAACGTAATAGCTGTAGATTTTCAAGTAGGACCACGTTACCAAAAACTACCGTAACATAGATAACAAGCGGAAAATTCACCATGACCTAGCACAATGCTTCGCGTGTTCATTGTATTGCAACGATAATAGCGATAGAAGTAACGAAATGATTTTTGCCGCCATATTAGCGGCATTGGATCGGGCAAGTAAAAGTTAAGGGTTAAACGGGAAAAGAGCGAAACAACGAAACAAAGAATGAGGTTTACCAGAAGAACCGCTTTTTCCGTCTTCTCGGTCTTGTCATCTTGCTGCTGGCTCTGCGCGCGAGTCTCGGCCGACGTCTGCGTTTGCGTTTGACTGTTGCTGACCGATGGTATCGGCGACTCCGTCATTATTCGGCTGCAGACTCTGCCGTTTGATTGCTAATTGCCAGAGGGCAATTAACAATACCGCTCGTCGCAGTCCGCAAATATTGCCACCGGTTCGATACCTCTAACGACCGACGAAAACAACCCTTCCGGTCCCCACGGACACGCGTTCTCCGGCAGGAATCTCCGCGGTGTCCTCACGATTCGACGCTGCAACGAACCACTGAACATCCCGTCATCGTATCTAAACTTCGCGTCGACTCGTTCACTGTTCATCAATCGTTTGCGATTCACTGGGTACAGAAGCTTTCATCCGCGTGTATCGTATGAGATTCGAATGCTCGCTTCTGTACAATTTTAGCATCTTTTACGCGAATATGTATAAAAATGAGATCGATAGACCGGTAAATTCGTGGCTTTTCGAAACGAAGATCTAACTCTCGCGAACTTCTGACTATAAAACGCGGAGAGAAATTAGAGAATTCTTTTTGAATCGTTAGTCTCTAACTATAACTTTTCTTATTGGTAGAGCAGCGTGGGTTTAGCTTGTTTCGGTGTCTGCGAACGCGTCAGACGCTCGAGCGAGGGATTCTCGATAGAGCGAAGGTTCTGTTGTCGTGTATTACCGAAAGTCTCCTCTTCCGGAGCTAGAAGACACGCGCATCGGCGAGCGACACGATCCCTGCTTCCGAACAGCTGTCTTCCCACGAGACCGTCTTGTTCGAGGAAGCGGCGCGCGGCGACGATCGTCCGGCACGCTTCCGCGGCAAGCATCGCACGCGACCACCGCGAAATCTCGGTGCGAGACAGCCGGGTCTCCCACAGGGGATTCAACGAAACCTCCTCGTTCCCTCCGAAACGAACGGATCGCGTTTCCCGGGAGAATCGACGCGTGTAAACGAATCAGCCGAGAATAATAGGACGGAAGATGGATCGCGGAATAGAATAGAGGATAAACAGAGGACGGGAGGGGGCAGCGGGAAGAGAGTACGGTTGGAAATTGGCGGTGGTGAATTTGATCTTTGAAGGAACAATTGAAACGCGGAAGAATGACGCGGGAATAATAGAACGGGACGTAGATGAAATAATAGAAAACAAACGAAATGCAACTGAAAATTGCAGGAACCGTGGGCGATGTATTCGAGCGTTGTACAATCAAAATGGAGAATAATGAACTTGGGACAATAGTGCAGAAGACAGACGGTGGAATAGGACAGAAGACAAACGGAAAAGAGAGAAAGAGCACTGAAAACGGACGCGACTGAAAATTCCACGACCTCGTAGGCGTTCGAGGAAACAATCCAAGTTTCGAATAACAAATTACGATTAACGCAGCGGAAGATCAACCTTAGAATACAACAAAATCTTAGAAACTAAAGAGACTCGATCCTTAAAACAACGAAGCTGCAGAATCGAAGAAAACGCACAGTGAACGGTGGAACAAAAGATAAACACGAAGAACTATGGGAAAGCGAACCCGATAAATCGTCGAACGGTCGAAGGGAAGCTAAGGAAAACGATCTACGGGAAACGCGTTGCGCAGAGATTCGGCACGAAGGTTCGACCGAGGATCGACCGGAACGGTGGCTCTCCAATTAGTGTTTCTATCGGCGCGGACGTGGCAGGATCCGCCAATGGATCGAGCGCAGTAATCGCAGCAGGAACCTCGTGAACGTGAACGTGGCGCCGGAGTTTTTCGCGTTCGACGTGGCTCTCCTGGACGCTGGCCTCATGGTCTCCCTCGGTCTCTAGATCACTCCGTCCCAACCCCCTAAACTACTCTGGAATCGGCGCGATACTATCGGACGTGGCCGATCGCTCGCGGGAACCGGCGAGATCCTCGCCGAGGGGCTTTTCACGGCATTTGTCTTTGTTGTTCGGTTATCTCGTCTGGTCTGTTTCCGGCGAATCGCTCGTCCGCGGGCGACGGTTTTATGCGCGCCGTGCCAGCACACGCGACAAACTGAAACGTGGGTTTCGCTCGGGGGCTGTTTCGGTGCCGCTTGTCTCTCCCTCCGTCTCTGTCCCGCCGTCGCGCTCGCCGTTCGAGGGCGCATGTCTGGCTCGGCACGGTAGTCTACCACTGGTCTCGCGCCTCCTCGAGCTTCCTGCGCCGCTCCGCTCGCTGCACGAGCCCTTCCACCGACGGGCCCTCCGCTAAGTGTTTACCGGAGATGGGAACACTTTGTTCGAATGATAGATGATGGCCGGTGCTTTCAAGTCCGCCGCCCGAGGTGCTTTCACGTGTTTTTCGGCGATCGGCTTCGAACTGTGGGAACTCCGCGCTGATTGGGAATCGAGGATCGAGTGTTGCCGAGGGGACGAACGCCGCTCGTTCGTCGCCGGTGCGTAGATTCAGTTTTTCACGGGATTTCAACCCTTTGCGGAGACACTTTGATGTGAGAAAACCTTCAGCTGACGAAGCTAAATTATATATCGATCGCTTGAATAATAGGAAAGAATATTGCGTGCCGAGCTCTTCCTGTTGGGGTAATTAAGTCGTTCGTTTGCTGTTCAGCGTTCCAAATATGATCATTTTATCTGGTCATAATGTCGACGTAATGGGTTAATTGTAGGCATTTCGTTTCGACGTAGGATAGGGGAGGCGGTGCTATTTGCTGGTCAAAAGGGGATGGACGAGGATCGTTTGTCGTGATTAGGTTCATTTTTTATGGGGATCGGAAGGACCAGTATTGTATCAGGCTGGAATTCTTGTAGGCAATTTCGAGTTTGTGGTTTGAGATGAACTGTATATGAAATCGTACAATTTATCGCGAAGATAGTTTGTCTAGTCGGTGCCTAGTAAATTAAGCTTAGCAGCTTAATAAGAAAACTAATTCATTATACTTCACGGCCACGGGGGACACGTTCCGAATAAGTCTCGGCAGTATATCCGCGATCGCTCGTGAATGGAGTAATTATAAGTTCGGAAAGAATAATCAGCTGCGTTAGCCATGCGTGTATCCGATAAAGCCTCAGAAATTAACATAATAATCTCTCACGCTACCTAATCTATACGCGCGTTAATCAGTTGGCTAGCCCAGATCTTGGACTCGGTTTAATTAGTATTCATGAAAGCCTGTTTTAGAACTGTATAATTACAATCCTTTCGGAGACGACTTTTTTTCCACGCGAAACGAACGCTCCGTTCTCATTTGCGAGCGTTACGAATCCATTGATACCAGGAATCCATTGATGACGTATCAATTACATTCGAGGATCGTTTGTGCCGTCGTTAACGTCGGAATATTCTGGACGTTAACGAGCTGCCGCGTCCGCGGTCCGTGTAAAATTTCAGGTCACTTAACGTGGAACATTCGCTTGCGTATGTAACCCCGCGTAACTTCATTACGCACGATGTTACCGCCGTTACAAGTAGAGCGAGCCGCGTATTTGTCCATCGCGCTCGCGAAAGTTCGGAGCCCCGCGGAACGCTCGCGACCTGTACCCGGTTAAATACGCGTGTACTAGTTGCACGTGAAACGTGAATTAACCCTTAACGGACCGGAACTATTTCAAGTTTACCCGCCGCGAACAAACACCGTAACATAGATAACAAGCGAGAACAAATTCAGAAAAGAGACCAAGCACAGTACTTGGCGTTCGTCGTAAATATGACAAGAATGACAGGGATAAAAATAATCAAATGATATTTGCTCGTGGAAAGATTGCAATAATGGTAAAGGTTACAGAGGGACATCATTGAATTAAAAATTTCACGTATCGAGATCCGAACGTCTACTAGCCACGGATCTCTGCTTTGAATGTGTATCGTGCATGCACTAGTTGTGGACAAAGGAGAACGCGACATGGAAGGAAAATGATAATGCAATGGGGAGAGAGATAGAGAGAGACAGAATTTGTCCCTCGAAGCTTCTCACGGAAGACGAGAGGATTTCGGAGCTTTTGTCAGCCTATGCGAAGTCCACGGTCAGAAAGGGGCTAATATCGTTTTAAAACGTAACTCAAAGGCGGTAATAACGCTTCAGTCTTTCGGATGATGCCGTAATTACGTGTCCTCCCGGTAGAACGAGAAATGCATAGTCAGTAGAAGGAGTCTATTCATGCGGAAGTCTACAGTTGTGAATTTCAAATGAGTACGAGATGGAATTTTGATAAGACGAAGTTCAAATAAAATTGGTTAACGTATGCGAACAAACGTTGTTTTCCGATTCAAATGTGAGACCCATAATTTAGTAATATCAAGTGAATTCCTTATTTCGGCGACACTCGATCAGATTGACCGGTGTGTAAACGCTAATCTTCATTGATTATTACTAATTTAAATGCAGCATAGATGCTCCGTTCAGCTAGAATCGTCACGTGTTATCCCCTCGAAAATTTGGTAACCGAGAGGAAACGTTGACTCGCATCGAAACATATTTGCAAGTTACATTCATGAGATTTGTATTTCGAACGTAAACCCTCGCAGACGGAATTTTAAAGTTCGGGGAACATTTGTTATTTCCATCCATGCCGTTCCGAGCGCCGCGAATCAATTCCGCATTCGAATTACCCGGCCAAGGCGCCGTTCCACGGGGCGGACTGCAGTTTTGCAGTTATCGAAACACGGGAATAAATAAAGTTGTCGTTGTGTGCTGGCAAACAGCGCGGCCGTTCGACAATCCACACCAGGGGAACTGTTCGAGTTACAGTGCGCGGTAATCAAACTTCGTTTCGGAACTTTTTGTCTTCGGAATCTTCGGTTCGGAACTCGATGTAAATAACTCGGGGGAAAAGCGCGGAAAGGTGGAGCGCGTGACCTTTCCCTCGCCGGCTGCTCTTCCGGTACAATCTGCGCGCTGATTCGAGCGGACGGGACAAATTTCTTTCGCGGCGGACACTCATTTCATTTGTATGATGAGAGAAGTTAGTTGGAAAAATTCTTCTCCTAACTTAATCAGCGCCTGACCCGCGGACCGTTATGCCACTGTGACATTTCTGCTTTCTCGCTTTGCATTTCTGCTTGTTTACTCTTTTTGCGACCGATAATAAAGCTCGATATTAATTATATCAACGATGTATCGATAATGATATATCAATAACATGTTTACGACAT